TTCTTGGAACCTGCCTTGCGTAATTAAAATTCCGTAGCTCTTCCCTTCTGCAGTTTTGCCCCTCTCCGTGACAATAAGAATTAGCTCTTGCTGGTTGCATTATAGTGCGACCGGTTTCTTCGCGTAAACACAACAGTTCGAACGATTGCAAATGTCTTTACTAACAATTAGAAATTTCACCACGCAAACAATCTTTGGGTATTAAATTATAAAATGTTATTTATTAATAAGAACATTTGACGTTCGTTATCTCTATAGAATACTGTAGTATTACGTCTAAAGAGATACTGAATTCTCATGAATGCTCGTCTTCTCAGACCGAAAACAGCAAAATTGGTATCGCCTTACGGATATGTTCGTCTGCAGTCTACGTGCTTCTCGAGAGAGCCACTCAAAGCGTCAGACGCTTCTCGCGTAATTTTCTAGTTCGGAACGTGACAAATGATTCACGGTTTGAGCTCAACGACAAAGATTCGTCCCGCATTCAAGCGGGAAGCGAGAGAGCATTCTGATTTCGCGTATGCTTATTTCTGGCACATTTTGGAAAAACATTGCACGTAATTATATTTGCAAATGGTGGCCGGGAAAAGTAAACGTGACTTAAATCTAATTCGTGCGATGTTCGAAGGCACGGGAAAGGGGAACATTATTATCGAAAATTCTTTCAAATATATTCCGGGCCGTGTGTCGTTTATTTACTGCCGCCGACACGAATTAATTTCCTCTCGTGAAAAATTCAGGAGTATTCGCTTTTCGAGTGGCCGGATATTCTATTCCAGTCGTGTAACAATATACCACGTGTGTTGGCTCTACTCTTTGTCTGGCAGGAGAGAAAAAAAATAGAGCTCGGTCGTAGAAACGTTACAAATATAGGCAATTTTAAGTTTTCGATTCGCCATCCGGCCAATTTCGACCGCGACACTTTAACTCGTCCAATTTTAGTTGAAAAACTGGAAATTGGTACGGACAAGGATTCCCTTTCGTCGTTGTCCCCGCTTTTCACGGAACGTGCTTTTATTGGAAGAGGTTAATTTCAACTGCAGGCGAGAGGCAAAAAAATCCTCTACGAATACTACCGATTTCACTCCAAAAAAAAAAAGAAATAACAATTATGCATCGAGAATAGCCTACGTCCCCAACATGCAATTTTCAGTCGATTCGGCAAATGAAGAACGACCACAAAACAATAATTATAATTTAAATTGATTTAGAAGCTGCGAATCCAGTTGGTAGTAGAATCTCGTCGTCGATAACGGGCGTCCGTGACGAGCATTCAATTGCGTCGCCAGCATATTTTCGCGCGGACGGAAAAAGAGAGGCGGGAAAAGCGGCAGGAAACGCGGTGTATTTCCGCTGGCTGATTATCTCCCACGGTGCAGCAGGTTTTTCGAACGAGAAACGAAAATTAATAGTATTTACGGCTGCCCGCGTACCATTCTCCTCCTTTCTTCTCTTTCTCTCTCGCTCCATGAATAATGCACCGCTGGAATTCGCGGGCCGTTCAATTTATGCACCGGAAAACGCAGCCGCTGAGAGAAGCGTATTCGTACTCGCGAGTCTTTGCACCACGCGGAATCGATCTAGCTGACCGATAAGTCTCACACTTTTTCACGGTGATCCATCATAACGCCGATGTTTGACCTGTCAGCTGGGTCAACAAATCGCGAGTCACTCTCGCCGTATAGCATTCGATTCTTCCTCCGATCTCAATTACATTGGCGAGAATAGATCGAACCGTGCTCCGTGCAAACATTACGTATAAGTATAAACAATTTTAGAAGTATAAAAATTTAAAGGGAATTAAAATATGCCAGAAGCATAAGAAAGTAGACATAATTATTTGTGAACATTTAATAACTGATTAATAAAATTGATAAAACATTCAAATTACCAACAAGAAATTTACATTGACACCTGAAAAATGAATAACAACGTAATGTATAATAAATCTGTTTGGGCTTCTGTTAATTTCATTTCTCTCGAATTCCGCGCTAGCCGGGATTTATGAGCGATCTACATATGTACATAAAAAAAAAAACACGCGTCGTGTGGCGAAAGTTACAAAAATGATTCATCGATTGCCAGGCGAGTTTACAAGTTTTATTCTACCGTTATCTATTGTCCTGTCGGTCGGCAAAATTTTCGAAACTCCGGCGTAGAACGAGTTTTTGAATCCGCCCGAACATTTAGTTCTCGTCTGGCCAGTGACTGGTTTATTCTACTGCAATCAATCTCCTCTTCCCACGTGTTCATTCTTGTATTGCCTCCGATAATCGTTCGATAAATGCGACTATAGACGTCTTTTTATAAATGCTTCAAATTCAATTCGAGATATACGAATGTGCAATCGGAGCTTACTTAGCGAAGCTGTATTACGTATTCGAAAGTTATACAGAGAATTTTGCATAAATAGTGAAACACGCCTGTTCCTGGCCATCCAGCGGACCACGAGAGTCAACAAATCGTCAGCCACTTTATGCTATTTGCCTCCGAAATTTGCGTGGAACATCGTCAAATATTGACCAAGAATAACTTGGCAAAGGGCAGAGTCTTAGTGAAAGTCGCTACTTCAACATCGTGACCGGTCTCCGATTCGCTATGATTAACATGAATTTTTCGCGGAACGCATGAGCCACCGCTTGTTGCTTTCGATCGTTCAAATATTTTCCAGACACCTTTTTTGTCGTTTAACGCCGCGGTGACTTAAATCGACGTTCGATTAAAAACAAATCGGTGGAACACGGGAGATATGTCGACGAGGGAGCGGGGAAAACAAAATAGAGAACGCTTTAACTAGGAAAAATTGACCAAAACCTAGGAAACGCTTTTAATCTACGCTGCACGCTAAACGAGAAAGAGAGAGAGAGAGAGAAGGGAAACGCGGGTACGATATCCGAACCCCGTGAAATATTCATGGACGAACGAACACGCGATATGATAGCGTTAACAAAAAAAAAAATCGTTTGATATGGATGAGAAGCAGTGACTTTATCGGAGCGTCAACTTAATGCTATCGAGTCTGGCAAACATCAAACGTTAATATAACTTAAGATAACCACGTTATTTTTTATCAATGATAAAATTCTGTTAATAAATAATTCCTTTGCAGTAACAATTAATAAGCACGGCGCGGCGCGGTGATAAATAATAATTCGTGACAAAAGCACAGGCTTCAGCGATTAATCAAATGCTAATTAAAAATGAACGGCGTTTCGTTAAGATGTCCAGATTAACATTCATTCGACTTTGAAATTAGCACAACGTTGGCATGACAGACTACCGCGTATTAATTTTCCATTACTCCCTCCAATCTTTGATCAACCAACTGGCCTCCGTAAAAAGAGAAAAGTCCAAAATCAAACGATGTGAAAAAAATTGGGGAAAAAATGTGATAGCTACAAAGAGAAGCTTTTCACTTTGATGTTAGCTTTGAAAAAGAGTTTTGAAATAACAGGTCTGACGTTCGACGACGGAGAACGAGATGATGCCAGTGAATTCGGCGCCGAGCCACCCTTAATCTAACGATTGTCTACGAGCAAAACGAATCAACCAGACGGGATTATTGCTGGCGCGCGACGATCCGTGGTTCCTCGTGAAATGATTATGATCATCGCTTAGCATAAATTTCCCCCGTTCTCTTTTATAGTCATGTTCCCTCTAACCCGTTCACCCTTTAGCCCGGTTTCTTTAACCGGCCACGGATCGATTTTCAAAACTTTTGCGTTCACGGGTTTGGCGAACGGAACGCCAAACGGCGTGAGACAGAATTTTGTACCGAGGAAATTGCTGACTACGGCGAATCGTTTATTACCACTTTCAACATTTTATGACGATGTCTCGAACGGTAATTGACTAACGGAATAGAAAAAAAAATGCGCGAAATCCAGTGGAAATCGTGAACATAAAACACAGAGAACATTATTTTAATTTTTTTAAAAACAGGACAACTTATTGAGAGAAGAGTATAAAGAAAGAAAGTATAAACAAAAAAGGATAAAGTTTCATGTATTCTTATTAGTTTTTCACAGAACAGGAGGGAATATTAAGATGGCAGTCAAGCTCTTTGATAGGCAACATGAACGCGGAGGCACGAATCTACTAACGATATACACGAGCACGCGTATTAGTCACGGGGCAAACGCCTTGATGTCTGTGTCTCACGTTTTGATCGATTGTCGCGAGCACGGCAGCTTACCTACGTATTGGTCTCTCTAGAAGCACCCGGTTTCGTGTTGGCTGCCTCCTAATCGTGTACGGCATATTTATTTCCCTGGTTCGTTATTGCGGAAACGACGATTTGTCACGGGCTGGTATTAATTACAGAGACCCCTTTGTACTTCGATAACAGTGCCAAAGGGCTACCGATGTCGCCGTAGCCGTGGTCATCAGAGACGCGAGACAACCTGTTTGAATAGAAATTGGCCTACGGAATGAGAACCGGGGGAAACTCCGGCAACTTCCGAATATTAATCGTTACAGTCTAGCCGCAACCGTGCATGTACTACGAAACACGTGGCTGTCCCGATCGAAACTCCTGTTCTCGTTGAGTTACGGGTCCCTTTAGCGTATTTCATAACACAATGCGGTCCTGGAGGTGCGCGCCGCACGAATATTCTAACGTTTTGGAAGATCCTCGAGGACTGGTTATGATCACAGACGTCTCGAGTACTAAAGAGATATACATATGTATAGCCAAATTTATTGGCCTCGGATAACATTTCCTATAAATGCAAACAGTGCAATGCGATAGTACTGAGAGATACGGATCCAAATTGATGTTGAGCGTCACAAATACAGCGTAACATTGATATAAGAAATATTCCATGATAAACATCTTGCAATTCAATGTAATTACAAAAAGAATGTTACAAAATATAAAGAATGTTACAGAATATTAAAAAATAAAGATGTATGATTGATATATAGAAGAAAGAGTGAATTGACAATTGGACTGAATAATGATTTTTATTTCGTCCAGGAAGAAAATTACTGCGGCTTACCACTTTATCTCTCAAGTTTCGCACACGACACGGCAGGTACACGGTTTGTCCAACGAACGCGCTGACGTTCGCTGCTGTCGGTTCGAAAACGGGCAAATCCCCTTCGGTTGAGTCATTATTGGCGTCGTTTGGCCGTCGTTGCGAGCCTTCCTTCGATATTTCGCGAAGCTGCACAGGCGCTGGAAGCAAAACAATTCGTTCACGGGATCGTGTTTCCAAAATGGTACCTAGTTGTTCTACTACTTGTCAGCAACGACCACAAGGCCAGTTGGCAGAGGAAAGATACAATCTACTTAGATACTTTCAGTGTTGGCCAAACTAAGCTAAATCTTTTTACAAGAGCTTAATCTCGTGATTCCTGCGAATGAATTCGTACACGACATTTCTGCAAACTAAGGGATTTCCTAAAAAGAAACTTTGCTCCTTCTCAAGAAGGAGATGGTAGTTTGCAAAATTCTAGCTGATTCGTGAAATCTACCCAACCACCACGTCCCCTTCCCCACCTCCCCTGTCGATAGTACAGCGTTGAAAGGAGCGTAGAAGAAAAATGGTGTCGATCTTGTTTGCTCATTAAACGTTTCACTTTCCACGGATTAATCTCCATTAGCCTTGGGAACGATGTCAAGCTTTGACCTCTCCTCTCCAATCTCTACCACGGGTTCCCTCTCTCGTTTTTCGACTTCTTCCGTACCCTATAGGTGGATATCAGGACACGTGTTACCGTAATCTCCTGGCAGTTCCGACGAACGAACTCGTCCATTCGAACGACCACGGAATCCATTCGGACGGGATCCCTTGTTAGTATACCCACGAACAATCTCTCCATCATCATCAATCATCATCAGAGCAACGCGGCGTGGGACGATACCCATTGCCGATTGACAGGGATTGATCCGGTTGGAAAGTTTGGAATAAAAACTTGGCCTGACCGGTTTTGCTGACGGAACTGGAACAAGTTTTCTTTGAAGTTTCGAAATAGGAAAGTGATCGGAGATCCACAAAAGAGCTGCCGCCGTCATTTCTCCTGAATCTTTGATAATTCGACCATACAGATTTCCTAAGGATTTTCAGCGAATCAATGGGGAAAGATTGAACCGCGAATGGGGAAACGTGGAAACTTTTATTATTTGGATGGAATGAAAAAGAGAATTTTATCCGGTTAAATTGGATCATTCCCTGCACCGCGGAGATGCGCTGTGCCACGCCGAATCGTATCAATCAACGCGGTGATACGAATTGGGCGAATCGCAGGCTTTCAAAATTGACAAAAAGAAAATCGAAATATAGGAAGGTAGCCAAAAGAGGGATAGAGATGGTTGAGAATGCTAACTGCATTCCCCTTTTACAGCCAGTGGATCACGAACGCGTTTTTCCTTCAAGCCGGAAACGCACCCGGATAAATTTAATTGGACCGGTGCCGAGCGTGTAGCTTGACGCTGGCGCTAGAAGAAAAGTGAGCAAAAGAGAGAGAGAGAGAGAGAGAGAGAGAGAGAGGCACTCCGCCGTGACGCTGGAGGTGCAAAAGTGCTATCGAATTATCAAACGAAGCCAACCAGAACGAGCCGCTGACATCGTAACTTGTTGTGCTGACCGTTTCGCATAAACAACGTTCTACCCCCAAACGCATAGCGGTATCCTCTTTCCAACATGCGCAGCCAGCCTCTCTGCCTGTCCCGGGATTCGGTCGAGAGAGGTGTCACGTTAACGTGTCACAGGCCGTTCTTCCCCCACGGGGGTAAGCTCAGAGCTACAGATAACGCCCGTATACACACCGGCACTCTGGCGTCATACAAATGACCAACTTCCCCTCGACTGGCTTCCAGTGTCGGTCGAACCCGTCCCACCGACCCACTGATAACTGCAGATTAATTGACAAAAAGCAGAGCTCGCGAATACGGATGATGTACATGGGCCGAGAATCGTCGTGCACCGTACTGCGGGTTTAGTTACACGCGTCAACCTCTACCACTTTATTCCGCGTTGCCCAGGGAGATGGGTCTATAATCGAAACGACGCGAATATATTGGAGGGGAGAAAGAGAGGAATACGGAATCCATAACTAATTGCCATCGTATAACCAAGAATCGTTGAGTAAAAACAGTGAACACAGTTTTTATAGTAAAACATTTATACTGATACTAAACAAAAAATTGCTATCTCTACGGTAATTTAAACAGAATAGAATCTCTCGTGGTATAAATCTTCAGTTAATAGTGCAATTACTCCTGTGAATTAAAACGCAGAATTGAAAACGATTACGAATTTCATGTCTTTTTTATTGTTCCGGTAGCGAACATTACAGAAGCCTCTTCTCCATTTAATACAGTTAAACTCGGAAATGAGAACAGCAGCTTACTTCAGAATTCATCCCTCGTGCCAGCAACACGCAAGCGAAAACGCGTTAACGATAGAAACTAAAGCCGGATTCCGATTAAATATCCTCTCATACGTGCTCGTCGTCTTAATCATAGCTCTCGAAAAAAGAAATCTTTGTGGCAACGCAGAACGAACGTGCCAACCGCTTTTATCTCGGCTGCATCGTTTGCCTCGTTCTCCGTCTGACCAACCACGGATTGCTTCTACTTTTTCAGCACGCGCGCCTACTCACGGAGGAAAAGCCCCGCGGACGAGTCATTCGTTTGCTACACCTTTTTCTTTTCCCTTCTCGCCCACCCCTCCCGGAGCTTTTGCCCGCCGCGACGCTTTATAATATTATAAACGGCACGCCGAGGCTCGGGAACGTTTAAACCACGAATGTTTCCTTTCTGCCTTTTGCCCAGCCGCAGGCTATTGTTCTTTGGAGGATAGTCGAGACATTTTATAGACGGCATCGAAGCAGCATCGTTTCCCTTTTTCCTTTTTCCCCTTTTCTTCCATGGCTTTTTCCCCTTTTAGAGCATCGCCCCGCGAGCGAAACGTCGCCAACAACTATAGCACGAGGATTTTGGTTTCATTGACATCAAAGCATCGGCCAAACGAATTGTATCGCGAACCCACTTACTCAATGAGCCAGCAATTAAAGAAGAATCGACAAACGTAATGATCCGAAATCACAAATGAGATTTTCAAAGTGTAACAATTAAATGTAAGAATGAAGTAATTCATAAGTGCTTTAGTGATCAAATACTGAAAACATAATCCAAAAAGTCTCTTTATTTCTCTAACATATTTTGTTCTTCTACGACTCCGACGTTTTACTCATTTAAACAGTTCTGAAATTAATTGATAAATATTCCCGAGTACTGAGTTGAGGATGTCTCGTTACGAAATTGTCAGCGCGTTCACGTTTGTTTCGTGTATTCTGCTTCCATTCTCGATGCATATATTCATCCTGCGGGATCGTATTTTAAAACGACATAGGATAAAGGAAACGAATGACAATTTAACGTCAGCAACGTAACCCGCGAATGTTACCTGCACAAAAGGAACGACGATTTTCCCGTTCCGTTTGCAAGGTAAGGGATCCGATAAAAAGGAAACGCCTCGGCGAATTTCCTTCGGCGTGTTCTCGATAAGCAGTACCGCAGTTCCGCGGAATACAAATATCGCGTTCGAATGGAGCGGCGACGAGCGAGGACGCGTATGTACGCCGGCATTAAGGCGAATTACTACGTGGTAAATCTCGCGGCGTTACGCTATCTTTCGTAGGCACTCGACTCGCCTCCACGAAATCTCTCCCCGTCTATTACGACCGGAGCTTTTTCCACCCCCCGGCAAACGACACTTTTATTTCCTAAAAGTGTTATCCCGATTTGCTCTCCGAGCGCCGCCTGCGTATTTCGTGAGTCTACACACTCTGCCCTAGCAGCCTTCCGTGAACCTGTGTCGTTTGCGTAAAACGATGACGAACGACCTTCAAATCCACGAAGGTAATAAACGAAGGGGGATTATAGAGAGCCCCTCCTGTGAAAACCGCAAAGGACGGCATTAACCGTGAGGATCGGAGTCCTTTGGAAAGGCTCTTGCAACGCGAATAATTCTATCGAATTTAAGATCCCATTTTCAGAGGAACTTTAGTAAAAGTAATTCGGCATCAAAAAACAGAATTGTATTCTGCATTTTTCCACAGAGAATATATTTTTGTCCAATGCTAAAAGAAGGCAGGAGATGTTTATGACCATATCAAGAGCGAAATTTCTATATCAATAACGTAACTACTTCTGCTCCCTTTGTCTCTTTCAATTCCACCTGTGATCAGACATGTTCACGAATTAATTTCTCAGCTTCTCGCATCATAAATCTCCACCGAAGAAGAAGACACCGAAGAGAAGTAGCCGAAACGTCGAAGACCGAGCGAAAGGAAAAGTGGAAAGGCGAATCGGGTCGAATTGCGTGGGTACAAAACTACAAAGCAAAACGGTCGTTAATCTTACGTCTGCCTGGAATCGTGCGGCGGTCTACCGCTCTTAAACCAGACGAACCCCGCCTCCACCCCTCTCGGCATGGGCACAGTTACGTTCCGCCGCTCGAAACAATGAGGACGAAACTTTACGGTCGCGCTAGGCCGCCGGGAGAATCATATATTTTCGCCGCAAAGCTCGTAAACTGCGGTCGCCCTTACCAGTCGGCACCGTCGTTGCGGCCCGGTTGCGTGGCCGCTACCTAACGCTGCTACACGCGACAACGCCGTGTCACCGTGTCACTAGCCAACGACTCCGCGTAATTCCCGCGAAAGTGTAAATTTCATTGCCGATCTTTCCTGCGCGCCGGCACGAAACACAGACCACAACAGGTGAAGAAACCAACGGGACGTCTTCTTTATTTTACTATAATAATATTAGATTGAGAACGGATGTTAATTAGAATTCATCAATTCTATATTATAATGGATACAAGAATTGTAAATACATCTTCTTATAGAATGAAATTAAATGTTTATTTGTCACGCGAATGAAATATTATAAGCCTTTTAAATAACAAATCTTCCGTGCAATAAAATTACAAAGCTGCAGAAAATTTGCATATTACGTCATCTGTGAAAAGAATAGTCACCCTCAGAGATTTCCGGGTCTAACAACTGTACAATGTTGTACCCCGTTTTCGCAACATGAATTGTGTTGCGCAGCAATTTTAGTTGTCACGAGAGAAATCTGCGACGACGAAGGTAGTTGCACCATTGTTTAGGAAACTGGGCCACCGTCATCGACGTAGCAAGGGCCTAGATATCCAGTTACAACGT